GGACGAGGACGAGGACGAGGAGGAGGAGGAGGAGGAGGAGGAGAAGGAGGAGGAGGAGGAGGAGGTTGAGACTGAGTCTGACCATGTGGGACGAGAGCATCCTTGTCCTAGGACGCATTGCCGAGCTACACCTCCTTGGGAGGCAGCTCGTCAAGGGTGACCTTCGGCCGCGGCTCTCTGGAGCCACTCTGTAACCTCCACCTGCCCGCGGCTCGGGCCTGCCGCGGCGCTGATCCTGGCCCGGCACCTGCCAGGACAACCCCGACAGAGTCGGGACCTCTGGGTCTTCAACCTTGGGGCCGCGGGTCCCTGACACAGGCCATCCAGGCCCTCTCCCCGTCGAGCCTGTCGAAACATGGACGCGCCACAGGATTTGCATTAGAGCACCGCGTCTCCAGGTTGAACCTCATGGGCCTCCTTCAAGGCCACGAAGCTTCGCCTGCACACTCCCAAGGGGTTCCCGAGGTTAGGGCAGTACACTCGGTGGGTGGAGGCAGAGGATGCGGAGGGTCATCCGCGCAGGCAGGCAAACGACGCCCTCTACACCTTCAAGTGGCCTCACCCCCACGTACAACCAAAAACCCCTCTCCAGGGTGACCTCCGAAGTGCCAACCACGCCCTGGGAGTTTAGATACCCCGAGTCCGAAAAAATTGCTGGGCTCCAGAAGCAGCAGTCATACTTTGAAGGCCCTGGATGAACAAGACTTGCTGCGGCGGGGTCTGCCAAAGCTCGGCCACAACTTGGCATAGTCAGCCGGTGTATTGCCACGAGCCATCCAGGTCTGATGGTCTGAGCGCGAGGTGGTTTCAGACTTGTGACGTTTCACCTTAGAAGCAGCAGCACGATGCCCAGCCCCTCCCACCAATGACGCCAGAACTGTTGTCTGGGCTACAACACAGACAGCGCCGCCACTGGGCCCCGCGCAAACGAGATGAGGCAGCGCAGTCGGAGTAAACATGCAGGGATTGTCTGGGTGCCACTCGCAGCGGGTAGCAAGGAAGGAGAAGGCCATGTCCTCTCCGTCTCTTGCTTGCTGCAACGACACAAAGTGCAGAGGTACAATCCTATAGCCCATCGATGACTGTGCCTGCTGGGTCTTCCTGGACCATCTAGGAACCTGCCCGACTGAGGCCTGACAACGTGGTGTGGTAGGCCGAGCCGTCAACAGAGACATCCCATGAGAAACGCCACTTCGCACGAACCCCCTCCCACCAAACCGTGCCATCAGGCTCGTGTTGGGGAAAGCAGCAGCGGGGGAAGGGGAAACGCGCTCCTGCAAAACAACTCTCCAGGGGCGTCGCTTCTGGCGTGGACCTTCTCGGCTGCCTCCCTGAGGAAAGTAGCGCATTCCTCCCTTCGCACATGCTCGATGCATGGGCACTCATAGAACCTATGGTATAGGGTCCCCCTCTCCCCGCAGCACTGGCATCTGTCATCTAGATTCATAGTGTGCGTGCAGCCTAGCTTGAGCCCGAAAGGATCCCCCTACTGGACTCCTAAGTATGGCCTTGTGATGCAAGCCCCAGGTTTCGCTAGTCGTTTTTTGAGCAACCACCCGAGGGGACTCCGGTGCAACTTGCTGATCAACGCATTTGTCACGCGGCTGAGGCTCAAGCTCTCTGAGACCGCTGTCGCAGCTTCCCTCACGAGATCGCACAGAAATCCATCACTGAAATCTATCGCCGAGCGCAGCTGCCCAAACATACGAAACATAACGCCGAAGTCATCGAGACTCCGATCCTGGCAAGCGCCAGCAGCAACGCCTGCGCGGGGTCTACGCACGGGACCCATGGCGTGGGCTTCGCAAGCAAATCCCTACCCGCTTCCCAGACTGTCTGCATGGGGCCGTGCCCTGGCAGGTCCGAGACAGTTGCTGGGGCCCTCGTGCTTCACGACTTCCACATGAGCAGCTAAAGCATCACGGTGGGCTCCTGGCTGCGAAGCCCGCAGTCGCAGTGCCACCGAAGCTCCTTCGGGCAGACGCCCCTCCGCTCGAGCGGCGTCCGAGCGCGTGCAGCTCTCGGTCAGCGATGTCTGGAGGAGGAGGAGGAGGAGGAGGAGGAGGAGGAGGAGGAGGAGGAGGAGGATCGTCTTACGATCTCAAAGATCGGGGGCGGATCGTTTTCAAGCATGCGGCTCTCGCGCTGTTGCCGCGCACGGTCGTTCCAAAAAGGTGCGCACGAGCGCTGCGGATGGAGGGCGTGCCTTTTCCAAAGTATGGTTCGCGCCGCAGTGCCGCGCGCATGCGTCTCAAAAGTTTGCCAAGGGCTTCGCGGATGGTGGGCGGGACGTTCTCCGGGCGTGGTTCTGACCTTTCGCGCCGCGAGCAGTCGCCCGCAAAAGCTCGCAGCGGTCTCACAGGCTGAGGGCTGCTCATTTTCAGTATGTGGCTCTCGCCTGAGCGTCGCGCACATTCGTCCTACGCGTCTGCAAGAGCATCGCGGGTGGAGAGCGGGTGGTTTTCAAACCGTGGTTCTTGATTCAGCTAAGGTTAGAGCCACACTTTGACGACGACCCAGTCTTCATTTGCGAAGCCCTTGCACACTTTTACGACGAATGTGCGCGGCGCTACGGCGAGCGCCATATGTTTGGAAACGACCCGCCCTCCATCCCTAGCGTGTGTGCGTATTTCCTAGGACGACTGTGAGCGGCGACAGAGCAAAACCCGCACTTTGGAAAACTGCCTACTTTGAAATCTTAGACGATCTTCCTTTTCCTCCGCCTCCTCCTCCCTCCCCCTCCTCCATGCGCGGCGCTGAGGCGAGAACCACAGTTTGTCAACGACCCTCCCTTCATCCATGAAGCTCTTGCAACATTCGGGACGAGTGTGCGCGATGCCGAGGCGAGGTTCACACTTTGAAACGGAGCTTCTGTCGACCTGTGCAACCGTTGCAGACCTTCAGACGGATGTGCGTGAAGCTAGTGCGAGATCCACATCCTTCCGTGAAGTTGTTGCAAAAACTTGTAAGGCAACCTTACCCGTTGCTAAGGCGAAAACCGCATTTCGAAAAGGGATTGTCCTCAATCCGCAAAGTTCTTTCTGCACACTTTTTCAGACGAGTGTGCGCGGCGCTAAGCATTTCGAAACCGACCCGCCCTCCACTCTTGAAGCTCTTGCGAACTTTTAAAGACGAATGTGCGCGGCGCTGACGGTGAGAGCCACATTTCGAAAAAGGAATCGTCTTCAACCCGCGGAGCTCGTGAACACTTTTTCAGAAGTACGTGCGCGTCGCTAGGGCTAGAGCCGCATTTTGAAAAGGAAGCGCCCTCAATCTGCGAAGCTCTTGCACACTTTCAAGACCAATGCGCGCGGCGGAGCCGCATTTTGAAAAGGAGCCGCCCTCAACCCGTGAAACCGTGACGGACTTTCCGGGCGATTGCTCGCGGCGCTAGGTTTAGAGCCACGCTTTGAGAACGACCCGCCCTCCATCCGCGAAGCCACTGCACACGTGTAGGAC